ATTTTTGGAATTATACCAAGGTTTATCACTTTCTCAGTAATGTTTAGATTGGTAATGTTTAGAAATGGCAAGAGTTTCTGCTGTTTACAAAGTTTTAAGGCTATCTACTCTACTCTAGCAGAACAGACTTGTGTAGTAAGTAAATAGGCTAAGCATTCCAGTTTACTTCATGTAGGAGGGGAAATGTGCTAACTGGTTCCCTTCACCTTTTCATTCATCTGTGTGTGTGCGCAAAATTTAGTGGCATGTAAACTTAGAATTAAGTAACTGGTTTTTTAAAAAAGTTAAGATATAAGAGATGTCAGAAGCTCACAAAGGAGGGGCCTAATACTGTGTAGGCTTTGGAATTTTTAGTATTTTTAAAACACTCCTTTTCAAAATATAGGAGGGACCCAAGATAGATGATGGCTCATGCCACATACTGTTCTATTTCCCATGGAGATTAGCTTTTCCCCCTGGAGAGTATTTGATCCAACCAAAACATCTCAGCTACTGGTTAAATAAGCCCTCAGTTCTCTAACACCACCAGTGAACAAGCCAGTCAATTAAGCTGTCGTTTTCATGAGGAAATCTTCCAATGAAAAATTTTCAGGTTTTTGAAGTTCCTATTTATCAAGATTTCACTATATGTCACAAAAAGCATATTTAAAATCTCCTTTGCAACAACATGTTAACTAAAGTTGTAGTAACTATATTAGAACAGCAGCAAAAAAAGCTGAATAAGGTGAAGAAAAAGCTTGTACATTCCCTAACATAAACTATACTTTAATATATGGCTTCCTTAGAACTAAGAGTCCTATTTACAGAATCCTCCAAGCAGGGTTTCCATGACACCGAATTAACAGGAAGGAAAGAGAGGCAATAATTACTTCTCAGAGGAGTACAGTTTCTACTCACCATCATAAACACAAAAGAGATGGTTGTCAAAAGTGTTGCTATGGATACCACACTCTGACCTGCTGCTAAGGCCAGTGCCATAGAACTGGCCGAATAAGCCACCATCATAAGAGTGAACATCATGATGAAGAAGGACTCCACTGCTGGCTTCAATCCTTAGGAAGATCACAAGGGGTTAATCCAACTGCCTAGGACACTATGTTTCCAGGGTTGTTTATTGAGCAAATAACACTATATTTTGAGAAACTGATAGCAGAATGGAAAAAAATGTATCCTCTATCCAGCCACCTAGAGTCACCAATTTCATTGTTGTTCCCACATAACTTCATAAAATTATCTTACAATTTTCTATTTCATACTTACTGCATTAGCACTTTGCCATGTAACACCTATGTTCCTTTATGTGGAATTATGAACAATTTCTGAGTGCCTGAGCTGGAGAGCTGGAGGCAGTACACCTGGCCAGAACTCTACTGGCTTCTCCTTAAGAAGGAAGCTTGTCAGGAGCACATTCTTTTCACCCAGACATCACATTATTCGTGTTTGCTGTAACTGTGGTGAAGAAACTGGGAAGACCAGGATTATGTGAGCTCCCAGGAGGCTCACTACCTGAGGGAAACCTCAGAACCCGTCTCTGAGACCAAGTATCATATAGCTCGGGATTGAGGATGGGGTGAAATTCCATTTCACAAAAATGCCTTATAGACTACAAGGGGTCATACAATCTGAAGATTTTGGAACAGCTATAAGACCACCAGTCAGGAGTCTGAGGAGGATCTTGGTTCAAGGCTACTTCTGTATGATACATATCTTGTTTGTAAAATGCAAGTTGAAGCTCAATCAGAGCATTTTCTCCTACAGTCAAAATATATATATATATATATATATATATATATATATAT